GTGTGTGTGTGTGTGTGTGAGACAGAGACTGTGCGTGAGTGGACGGAGTGGTAGCACATGCGTGTGTCGGGTATGGTTGTTTGTGCGTGCGGTGGGTTGGGTGGTGTATGGGCGCAGTGGTGTGTGTGTGTGCGCGCGCGCCTGTGTGCATGTCGGGGTGGGTGGTGTGTGTGTTTTTGAGGAGACCGAGTGCGTGTTTAAGTGTGTGTGTGGGTGGGGTGGTGCGTGTGTGGGAGACAGAGAGTGCGCGTGTGTGTGTCTGCCCACTCAGTTTGTGTTGCCATCTCGATTAGAGGTCGCACTGATGAAATTGCCTGGAACGGTAACGAAATGTCTGCGCACCTTAGAACAACCGGCTGGGCAAGCAAGCGAACAACCGTGATTCTATGACAGCTGAAACAAAGAGAAAATCAAATATCTGAAGAAACTCGGCAGGTCTGGCAGTAGTTCTGAAGAAGAGTCACTGGACTTAAAATGTTAACTCCGTTTTCTGTCCACAGATGCTGCCGGATCTGCTGAGTTTCTGTAGCATTTTCTACTTTCGTTTCTCTCAGGTCTCTAGCATCCACAGTTCTTTGTTTTAATTTAATTCTATGATATTACTATTTTAAGTTATTTAATGGGATCCAAGTGTTGTCTTTGAATCGGTAATTGTCTTTGAATCGTTGATGGTGAGCCATCTTCTTGAATGACTATAGTCCATTTTTTGTAGATACTTCCACAGTACTGTTGGGTCAAAATCCAGGAATTTTTTTCCAGTGGTTGTGAAGTAATGGCAGTATAGTTACTTTGTTTGGCTTCTGACCTGATTGGAGCAAATATTCTTTCTTGCTGTCTTTCCAGGGTTCCTATAAAACTCTGCAGTTGATTTAAAAAAAGTATGCAAAGTTTGTAAAACTGTTCTCCAGCATGTGAAAGTTTTTTTCAAAACATGCAGACTTCTGTATTGAGATCCTGTGAATACCTGGGTTCTAATTCAAGCATTTACCAATAAAAAATTCTGAACAGAAAAGCAAAACCCTTCAGAAAATTTTGTTCTTAGTCGGGATTGAGTTTAAAAGAAAAGCGCAATTAGCTGTCAACTCTGGCTTACAGAAGAGTACAAATAAAGGATTGCTAATGTTTTAAACTGAATTGGTTTGCAATGTGTGTGCAAATTGTTCTTGTGCAAGTGGAGCTGCAGTGCTTATGTATACTATAGATTTTCCTGGAATGATCTGTTTTGCCTTAGTAATGGATTATTAATATCCTTTTCACATTAGGGAAATAAGACTAGGTCGAAATGGTGTGGCAGAGATCAAACGGCACCCTTTCTTTGGAAATGATCAATGGACATGGGAAAATATCAGAGAGAGTAAGTTTCCATAACTGTTACTTGTATAGTAGATTGTGTTATGTAAATTTTTGAGTGACATCAAAGCAATTATCAATTGTTCATCAGTTATTTCCGTTGCACCACTTCAGCTGTAGTTTTATATTGCAAACTGTTGAATTATTTCAAATAGAAGATTTGACAACATTTGTATTTCATATGTTTAAAAAAAACACGTGTTCTTTTCAACTGTCATATTGGAAATTGTATTTCCTCACTATCTAAAATACAACTGAAGGACTGAAGAACAACAACAACATTTCTGTCTGAACTATTTTCTTAGATCTGCATTCAACAGTACTCTTAAAAATTCTGGTTTTCTGTTATTGTACAAAATCTTGTATATATTTCCTAGGCCCTTTATTCAAGACAAAGATTCTTGATCTTCTTCCTTGTTTGGCTTTTGCTTCATTTAAAAATTCCATAAATCACCTGCTACTAAACACTTTATTATGTATAGCTTCTGTCACAAGGTGAAAACAGGCAACAAATGCATGCAAGATCCGACACACAAAATTGTATGGATCACAATGTATATTCACCTATGTTTCATTTCTTGATATAAGAAAGTTCAATTTTCATGGACATCCATATCTCATGTGAATGATGCCCTGCAACCTGGGTATACGACATGAGCTCCGAGTAGCAGCAGATTGTTTGATCATCTGCCCACATTGTTCTCAGTTCTGTAAATAGCTGTCACAGACAAATTGTAGTCAATTGCATGAGGAGCAAAAGTAGTTAGCCACATATATTCTTTTTAATCTATATTTTGACCCATTACCCTGCATTATGAACATTATATACCACTGACCTTTCGCTGCACTTATCTAATTTTATTCTTGAAAGATACTGATTTGATAAAAATTCATGAGAACCATTCATTTAGATCTCCTGACTACTGGAAACTGTGTATATCTATAATCTCCTGTTCCCCATCATTTTTTATAACTTCATAAACTCTTCTATCATTGTTGATCTGCAATCCATTTTTTTTTTTGAAGTCTTTGCATTTTCTGGTACTAAGCAGTTTCGTTGGGAATTAGTGTTTTCGTCTGTCTAAAGTCTCAATATCATCCTTAGCAAAGTAAAATAAAAGTTATGTTAACATGGCCAGTAATACATATTTTTCATGGTTATCACAGATGCTTGGTATAATCATCCAGAGCCATAACCTCCAATCTCTCTGTGGAACTTAGCTAAATAAATCTCATGTAAAAAGGGTGTTTGAGCAATGGTAGCCATGAACCCCCAGCCACACCAGTGTCCTGTGTAGAGGAAATTCTGACAGTCTGAAACTGCTGCTGTGAACTGCATATGAAATAACTTAGAAAGCCTCTCAATTCCATGAGAATCTGGAGTAAAAGCTGGACTTTCCCACAAGTCCAGACCCTGTGAATACAATTTTTAAAGACTCATTAACCATCTTAGCTTTGTATTCTACACCTTTTTGTAATGAAACATAGAATTCCATTAAGTTTTGTAAAAATGTTAAGATAGAAGATAATAATAAAATATTTAAGAACAAGTAACCCATTCAGCCCATCATACCAATGCTGACTGAAGGAAGGAAATGGCACAGTGGTGTTATCACTGGACTAGTAATCCAGAGACAAACGTAACATTTGGGGATCTGGTTCAAGTCTCACCATGAGCAGCAGGTAACTCCCCAAAACACGTCCACCATTTATAAGCACAAGTCAGAAGTGTGATGGAATATTCCCTCCTTGCCTTGATGAGTGCAGTTCCAGCAACACCCAAGAAGGTTGGCCCATAATTTATCCTGCGTCAGGTTCCTGACCTGTAAACCGATTAGAAAACTGGATTTAGTTCTCAGTGATTAATTTGCATTTCTCACTTGTAAAATATTTTTTATTCTTGATTTTAACCTAGTTTATTTTAATAGATTGGGAATGACCAGTTGTATTAGATAGAATAACCTCCAAAATATTGTTCTACATGTGCTAAGTAC